GGGGCCATTGGAATCCCGCGAATGTCGACGTAATAATCAGTGGACGGGAAAGACCGTCCAGTGAGACCTCTGCTCTCTGAGGGAAAACAATTAATTAAAGAAGCGAGTAGGACCCATGAGCCTCTCCAGCGTCCCGTTAGGGATCAAGTAACGGGTCAGTCGCACGCGGGGAGCGGATAATGCCTCTGTTCGACCGTCGCGAACAACGATGTCCACCGTGTGCCCCACGGCACGGTGGGCGTAATTACGGTGACCTGCACGGGATTCAGTTCACAGTGTTGACAGACTTGCACTACAGCTGCCGCGCTCTCCCCACCCTCAACCTCCACGATCAGGTGGTTAGACGGGGTCAGAACAACTGAGAGCGGACTCGGGCGCAGTGGCTGACAAAGGCAGACGACCCATCTACGCCTGCCCCTCATGACCCTGTTCGCGGACGGCAGACCAGATTTTCGCACTGACGGAGGGTGCTCGGATCCAAACTTGGTAGGAATGCCATAGGAGTCACACTCATGAGGAGCCATTGAGTTTGACCCTCCGTCTTGAGAGAACCGAGCTACCCTTTTATCTGGCAATCTTCCAAAGCCGCGACCGTGTATCGCGTCAGGTTTGGCTCAAGTGCGTCAACTTCCTGATAATGAGGAATGCGTTGATGTACTCTTGTGGACAGAACACCCAGAGTCGCCCCCACTATTTCTTCCCTCTCTCATGCACCGGTTCGCAGTCGGAGTTGGTCAGCTATCTGGGATAGGACGCATATGACTAGGACGGCGTGAGTCTGCGCTCGGGACTGCCACAACACTCGCCCTGTGCGTGGCTTTTGTTACGGGATACGCAGATTCTGCGTAGCCTGGGTAACGCGTTCCGTGTCCCTTGTTGGTTCAGCGCCTCCAGGTCACAACCTGTTGTGTGGACATGCCTGGCGGCCAATACGTCGTCCCACACAGATAGACCATTTCATACTCAAGGTGACTCGACTAATTAACGCCTGAGGCTCATGCGTCCGCAGGGTGATAATGCGGTTCACTCAGTAGCAGGTGCCTCCTCCCTTGTCTATGAGCCAATGGCCGCATGCTCCACGGACGTTCTTTAGCCAGCTTCCCTGATAACGCACCACCGAAGGCACAGTCGAGCCTACGCGTGCCCCACACGACCTCATCAACGCACGGCGCACCAGATTTAAGCAGAAATCGAGGCTGCTCAGATCCCAACTGAGTAGAAATGCCATAGGGGCCACACTCATTAGGAGCCATGAAGTCTGGCCCTCCGTCCTGAGAGGACCGAACTACCCTGTTATCTGGCAACCCTCCAAACCGTGACATGTATCGCGTCATGATCAGTTCAAGTGAGTCAAATTGATGATAGTGAGGAATGCGTTGAAGTGCTGTGGGGGACGAAACACCCAGAGACGCCCCCACTATTTCTTCCCTCTCTCATGCACCGGTTCGCTGTCGGAGTTGGTCAGCCATCTGGGATAGGACGCAGGTGGCTAGGACGGCGTGAGTCTGTGCCCCGGTGGGCCACCACACTCGCCCTGTGTGTGGCATCTCTTATGAGGGCGCAGCCCAAATAGCGTTCGCCGTACCCTGATCTGGCTCCCCCCCCATGTTCTGTCAGCGGGACTCCCACGTGACTCGTTGTAAAGTGCGCTGCTAAGGCACCACATACTTACTAAAAACGGGCAGTTCGTACTTGGTGGTATGACTGCTAGAACGCCAGCACCGGGGCCGTTAACTGTCGCGACTTCATTACCGTTGTTGTTTATTGGCGTGATGCTGGCGGCGGCGGCGGGTTTAAGTATGACTGGCTGACGACGGCTAATAAGCCAGAAATGGCCATTCCAGTCTCCCTTGTCTTTGTCGGTAATATCATTCTGCCTATCTATCATGCGCCGCTGTGCGGCTGCTGGTTGGGCTCGAGAGAGAGTCCTTAAGGCACAACGGAACGAGTGAGTTCCGTATGAACGATCGGTGAGCGCCCCCTAACATTGTATATTCCCGATCGAAAACCGACAAGGCAACGGGCTCGTGGCCCGGTGAGTAGAGGCGTTGACTTCTAAACCAACAGGTCGCGAGTTCGAGGCTCGGGTGTTCCACACTTCGGGCTTGGGTATGGCTGGCTGACGACGGCTAATAAGCCAGAAATAGCCATTCCAGTCTCCCTTGTCTTTGTCGGTAATATCATTCTGCCTATCTATCATGCGCCGCTGTGCGGCTGCTGGTTGGGCTCGAGAGAGAGAGAGTCCATTAGGCACAACGGAACGAGTGAGTTCCGTAAGAACGATCGGTGAGCGCCCCCTACCATAATAATAATAATAATAATGCTAAAGCCTTTAACACGGCAGCGAAGGGACAGATATGTGGGGAATAGTTCAAAGCAACCGCTGATCTGTTCAGGACCACATCGTCACATCCGGTTAATTCTCGCATTGTTTCCTTGAGGCGGCTAGCAGACCAGTCAGTAACGTCCCTTGTTTCGGATACTGGCGTCGGTTGTCGGACTTAAGACGTCACTAACAGAAGATAACCTGAGTGCTAGCCCAGGAAAAAATCGAGGCCGGAATAAAAGTAGGGTGTGTGGTAGGACAATAATGATAGTAATTGCTAGCCTTCGCGTACTTTACGGAACACTGTCAGTCTGCTACAGTTCTCATGACAATCCACGCGGGAGTTTCAGTGGACCAACACGGGGGTCAGATCAGGGCGCGGCACACTTTATTCAGGCTGGAAACTCAACAAATGCCACATATAGAAAGATGTTGGCAGCACGCCCAAACGCAGACCCATGCTGCGCAAGGCACCGCCCCCAACAACAACAGACGGCTGACCAGCTCGAAAAACGGACTGGTGCATGGGTGAGGGGAGAGAGTGGTGTCGACTCTGGGGACCCCGGGATCCGAGTCTCCACCGTTTCTGTGAACATTTAGTGCATCGTGCACGAACAGGTCATGCGGGGCACGCGTATATGGGCTGTTTAGCTTCGTCAGTCACTGCGCTCGAGCCCGTCTCGACGCTGGAGCGGGTGAGGAAGGAGAGAGCACGCCAGCTGCTGCGCCGGCCTGTAATCGGCGCATAAACTAGTTTACGCGCAAGTCACCGTCCAGCACACCGTGAGACAATCACGGTGAACAACGCCGCTCACCATGGAGCCTCCTGACCGGCAGGACTATCGCGTGGGCAGGCTTGATTTGGCTGTCAGGCAAGATGAGTACTGGCAATCCACCTAGGCATTAGCGTGCCGACTCAGAGAAGTGTGGTAGACATGTAGGAACGGTTTGCCGGGTCTGGCTCAGTTGCGAACAAGGCAACTACGTCGGAGAAACTGGGAGATTGGTCCGGACGCAAATTGCGGAGCACGAAGCAGCAGTGAGGTGGGGAGACACTAACTCTCAGGTGGCGACTCATTCGACGGTACCCGGTCATATTTTCCAGAGGTCGAAATCCTCGCAAGGGGTGACAACTGCGTGAGCCGCGAGCTGCTCGAGTCATGGTCCTCAGGCCCCCAATCCATGAAAAAAGCTCAATTCTGTGCTCAGATTTTCCAAGGGCAGGGGAATCAGTCACGTGGGGAGGGCGCAGACAGGCAATGGTCCCAGTGACATTGAGGTAATTTGCCGAGCAATTGTCACACCAGCATCCAGCACGGATGACGAATTCACGGCAATTAACGACCCGAACTCGGACAGGCAAGCCACCATCGCATCAAGTACGGCCCCAGCTGTGATTGCGAGAGCTGTTAATTGCAGTGCGCATACGGTCCACGGCAGCCACGTGCTATAAATACTGCACTCCTTGTGCCACCATTACCCTTATCTGCGACTGTCTCTGATGATGGGTTCGAGTGAGAATCCGAAACGTCAGGCATTTAGATTTTCTGTTCCAGTGATCGCATCTTCGTCTTCTAGACACGCCCCAGCGGTGTCCGGCATGGCTTAAGAGTCTGAAGAATGTCTGGAAAAACGTTTCCGTTGAGTTTGACTCCGCGGCGCCCAACGTATCATCCTGACAAATCGCGTATATCGGGAAAATTTTGTGGGTTCACACGTGTGCGGCGCAGACTGGTAAATGAAATTGCACCGATAAGGAAGGAATGAGTTCGGCTCGCCCAATCGCGGTCGAGTTAGGGGCTAATGTCGAAGGCTGTAGTAGTAAATTGACAGAAGACAAAGACAGCTTTGTGTGGAACCGAATAGTGCCATTGGTAACTGGACAGCAGATAGTCACTAGGTCTGAATTTTCGAAGGGCAACACAAGTTTCCGCAAACGACCCAAACCTTTAAAAAACGAGTACGCTGATCAGTACAAGCCTGCCACAGTAGATTAAACCGAGCAAAAAGATTCGTCAGAGAAACCACAGGAAGCTATTAAACCATGAAACCCCCCCTTGTATGGAAAGGTATATTCTACAGTTTATGGCAAGCGAACGGTAATATGAATTCTCTGTGCTTTTAGAAAGTGTAATTTCAATGCGAAAAAACTGACAGGAAATAATGACAGTAGGAGCAATGTTTATGCAAAAGAACGGCATCTTTGACAATATAGGCTATTACGAGGCATTTTAGAATAAATAGTCCAAGGTGAGTCGTTTCTGATAAAAAGGAGGGGGAGGGGGACGAAAGGAGCGCCGGAGATACTTGGTGAGAGAGACAGGGAAGAGGGCGAAAGCCAGCGACAAACAGAACAAAGGAGGACATATTGGTGCGGGGAAAAGAAAGCAAACCATTGTCTTTGCAAAAAAATCAATCAAACCCTAGCGATGATGCCAATGTCCCACACGACTTTGGAGGAGGTTGAAAGAGGCAGCGGGATCGGTGGAAACATTGAAAAGGTCGTGAGAGCTAGACACAAAGCACGAAAATTGATAGGGTTCGGGAAACAAAAAAAGAAGTGGGACGTTAGTTGTGAGGTGCAAAAAAGAGACCTGAATGCTTCTCAATTACCGTACTTGGCAGTGGCGTGAGTGGTAAATGAGTAGAAATAGGGCAACAGTGGGTATTATAATTAAAGGCCGAAAGAATTCTCCCCGCTGTAATGCGCGTAAAGGAAGCCGTCGTCGTCCCGATGGTCCTCGTACAACTGGCCGATAGTCGCGCTAAAACGGCATACAACGGAAATATAGACAACAGTTTCGAGGACTTTCAACAGTAATACTTGTAACTGGAACTGCCGCGATCGGGTTGTTGCTAGAACTTAAGCCCAAGACCTGCTCACTCGGCGCAGTGCAAGCTGCAGACCAATGCATACAGTGAAACTGGTAAACAAAAAGATATTAAAAGAGCAGCTGACGAAAAGCATCCAACATTGGTATCAACGAGCAGTCCGAGTCAGACATGACGTCCTTTTAGTTCGGCATTAATAGAAGTATTTGATGATAAATTCTCAAGGTAACGACGAAAGACTGATGGGAGACTGAGATGTGATAACAATAAACGATGGCAGATGGATTTGACAAATCGGAGCAGAAGCAATCGACCAATCAAGTTCTGACATTGGCCTAGAATAACGTGTCTTTTGCGGGCTGAAATGTTTTCAGATGGTGGGTGAACCCACGAAGAATGACTGGAATCCTAGCCGTTAGATCCAAGTCACCGTTGCTTAAAAACTGCCCCGGCAGCCCGTGGCATTAGCAATCGCCCTAGTCCCTACCCAGGACATTGAAAAATGGTGACGGTAACCGACGGAGAAAGACTGGTGCACAGCGGGAGGGGGTCCGGAGGAGCATGGCGAGTGTACAATCGAGATTCACTTTGATAGTGAGCGATGGATAACGCAGAAACTGTCGGTGGACCTCGCAATGTGTAAGGCAGTTTAAAGAGTTCCAGTGCGTGGGACTTCGGCCCAGCGGCCGTGAGGGACGGGGAAGTACTGCCTGGCCAGGTCTCGAAAATGCTGTTAATACTTCATGGAGGTCTCGGAAATATGTTAGTAGCGTTTCTTCCGGGCGACCCACCAACCAAGATACCGGAGACTGGAAAAACTTTCGAAAGATGGCGCTGGGGGTGCGGAGAAGGCTTTATGGGCCGTATCAGTAACTGCTCATACATCGTCCTCCAGTCTGACTGATATGGCGGTCGCGCGAACGCCTTCATAGACGGCCTCTAGGCAGTCCTGTAACAGAAACTCCCGGAGGTGTAGGACCGTCACTTGGAAATTTATGTCGTTTGCGTAGGGGAAGACGATAACGGCTGCAACGCTTTGACTACTTTTTCTAACGCCCTAAGCTTACTTCAGTGTCAGAAAGAGCACCGTGTTTCCTCTTTCGCCTAAGCCGGCCGCCAATGAAGAACATCCGCTGTTAAAAACGAGCAACTATGAGCACTGGCAAAAATAGGCCCGGATCAATATACATGCGGGTAGGTGCGCCAAATGCTCAACCAACGATTTAAAAGTGTCTGAACAGTACTGGATCTGGCAGTGCTCCAGGCCGTTAGTAATTAACGTTTTTCAATGGAGATGGATCGAACTAGTTGGTACCAACGTCAAGTAAAGGCATACTTTTAAATGCAGAAGACTTTTCCGGTCAGCCCGCTAATCTACCAAAGTGGCTGCTAACGGCACGGTTGGCTGATGGTCTGACACAACCTCATGACGACTGAATAGGCGGCAATCTAAAAGTAAGAAACCAACAGAATGAGCCCCGGTCAGTGGATTCAATTGCAGGTCCTATCAGACGAGGTTTCTGGCCAACTATGGCGGAATTCGATCACTCCAACCCGACACAACGGCAAACTGTCGTCCGGTTGAACGGCATCGCCGCCTTGCATGTGAGCAGCACACAAAAAAACGGGAGAATTGACCTGGTGCCATGTAGGAAGACAAAACGCGTATATGATTAATTTCCAAGGTTTCTATAGAAAGATTCAACGGTGCCTAACGTCCGTTTTGGGTACAATACTTGGGGAAACGGCTTATTTATGGACGCATGTGAGAATTCGACTCCATGAAGAGATGGATTCGGCGCTGGTCCGAAAGATTGTTAGCCAGCGAAAAGCTGGCATTAAGTAACAGATGGCACAAGTTACAAAGCAGCAGACACGAGGACGACGTCGAGGTCACTGGACAGCGAAAAACCCACCCTCCGAAAGAATTGCTTCAGCGCGTTCTGTCAGGATAATCCAATGCTGCATAAACAGTTAACAGTTCCGTGAGTAGAAGCACAGACCGTAGACATGGGAACGGTGAGACGATCAATCAAACCTTAAAATTCGACAGTTAAACCTTGCACAGTGACACTATAGAAGCGGAATACGGTTTGAAAATACTCAGTGGATGGACTATGAAGGAAAGCCAGACGAAGCAATTACACGTCAGACAAGAACTCAAAAGCCACTTCCGTGACTTATAACAGCAGGTAATGATGGCAACAGCAATCTGAGTTGAATAAGATAAAGGCGTTAAGTCCCTAAATAGCCCGAACACAGAAAACGTTGCTACAACCTACGGGCGACAGTGATAATGAATTCTAAAGTAGAGTGAACGTCTAGTCCTTGTACTTGTCGAAACAGTAAGTGGGATATACATCAAGTCAATGAAGCTCGAGGGGTGAAAATCAGTCAAGTTCACAGAAGCTGGATCAGATAGGGAGGATAGAAGTGGACGAAAGAATGGTCAGCAAACTGCCCTCTCTATGTGATATCAAAAATGAACATTACAAACCGATGCATCTAAGCTTGAATAAAGGGCAGGTAACTGTGGCACCGGCTTCATGACAGTTAACATAGAGAACAAATTTAATCACTCCAACAGGTTGAAATAAGGGAAGCATTTGCAGTGCTTACCTTGTTTGAGGCATTACATCGCCAACGAACAAAAACAAGGCCTTTTCTGATGTCAAGTCTATACGTTTCCGTATAATCCACATAAATTGGGCGACCGTTATGTCGTCAGGGACGAGAAACTTGTGCTTATCCAAATCAGCAATTTTCGAGTTCGGGTGTCGTTCAACGATGACCTAGAAATTGCATCGAAGAGTCGTTAACTGTTATGGAGTAAAGATGTAAAATAAGTAAAAGTCGGCATTGATGCTGGAAAAGGGTCAGTGGGCAGGTCCAGATGCACTGGGTATTTTATGAAATTTCTAAAAAAACTGACTTCTAATGGGTGATAGAAGGCTGGACGGCTCTGTCTCTACTATTAATAGGTATAATTATCCGACAATACCTCGGCCGGTTAGTCTCATTAGTGACGAGACATCGCCTACGTCTATTTGGTCCGCAATGTTGAAAAATCCGTCTTCTATGGCATCGAACTGCCTAGCCTTCCGAATTGTTTGCTTATTTCCTTCCAGGTCGGTTTTCGTCGACATATATTACAAAGCAAATCCCGAGAATTTTGGCAGTTTCGAGCAAAAATATTGATAGCTAGACTAGCAAAGTTTACTTTCGAGATGAAAAATCTCGGAATATAAACATACAGCGCTCGCTGCAATATGCATTTCGTGGTGGACTGCCTTCAAACGGTGATTTCGCAACCAGTCTGGGCTTGTCGTCGGGTGAAATTGCACCCGACTTCTACTTAAGTAGAAGGCCGGAGTTATCATAGTTTATCTATCATCCGAAAGCATACCAAGTGTAAAAGAAAAGTAGAACGCGTCCCTTTTTGAAAATGAAATATGTAAGTATCGTCTGCAACAAAACTAGCGTATTGCGGGAAAGCAGAGTATGTAAGGAATCTCTCCCAGTCTAATCAAACCATCAGGACAAAGGTGTCCCGCCGAACTTGGAAGACCCTAAGTAATAACGTTTTCTGATCGTAAAAGGTACTAAAATACTTAAGTGTAAGACATTGAGGATGTAATATGAACGGCTGGAAACAAATAAAGTACGAGGCATTGGAAAAAATGAATTACGGGAATACGATGAGGGTACTTCCTCTTTATCTTGGCAGAATCCGCCAAACGGATGTCTAAAAACAGAGAGAACAATGAGTAGCTCAAAAGGGAACATACCGAAACTGTTGTCTTCCTTATACTTAAACTTCATATCAACAACGTAACAAACTAAAGGAAATTGCAGAAATTGAATGAACCGATCTTCCAGCAAAACAGTAAAACAACAATTTTATCAGAACAATTTATATAACCAATCGGAGTTATATCAGAATTGAATAATTGATCAAAACCAGATAGGGTACACTCGGCTGCCGAAGAGGGAGTTATGATGATTATTTGAAACCCGTTATTCTATCTAAATAGCTTGATATGTCCGCTTTGCACGAGTGTAATGACTATAAAATGAAGTTTGGATAAGTTCTGTCCATTCATGGGAAATTCTACGACGATAAAATACTTTTTAAATGTTTTTTATCTTATTTGTTTAATTTTAGATATTTAATATGGTAGACTTCTTTGTTCGCGCGTTCATTTAATTCCCAGAGAGGCATTTCACAGACGGGAGAGAAAAAACGATTTCTTTCCAAATGATATTCTCAAGCGCAGACGACTAGCTGGTGTTGCTGCGGGCTTTCTGTCATCAAGTGGATTCAAGTGCTAAATAGTGGAAGCAAAAGATCTAACTTCACACGGCAAGAATCCGCCTTAATTAGACTTTTATCACTAGTAGAGGTGGATTCCATCTTTGCTCACCGGGATTATATTTATTTTTATTCGGAAAGGGCTTATTTTTTATATGTCCCGATCTTCCACCAATGGCACGAAGATCCGTATTGCTCCTCCGAGAGAACTCGTCGGCATCTCAGGCTTCGGCTTATAAGTTTGCTCATACCACTATAAACCTCAACAAAATTATTTAAGAGAACTATTACTCGATTTTTGCATTCAGAAAAGCTCCCACAAATTTTGGGGGATGAATCTACTGATCGACTGTACCGTAGCGATGGCGTTTGTGGTCTCTGAACATTATCGCCGGTCTCACCAACTGTTCCTCAACGCCTCTACTTTGACTATCCCCAACTTCATGAAAGGAATTTGACGTCCGATAATCTCCGATACCGTACAACCTCCCCCCTTCTTGACGGTCGATATTCTACCACCGCCGGCAGTTTTTTCTCCTGAGCCCTCCAAACCATAAAAACCACCATCAACTATATTTTTATTCCTTTAGCTCAGGAGTTTTTTTCACTGCTGGTCGGATTTATGTTTAATCGCTTCCCTTGACAATGCCTGTAAACTGGCATTAAATAAAAAAATTTATTTATTTATTTATAAATTAGTTAGTTCTATTGATTAGAAATCCGATTCAATTATTCCCTTTATCTCTCCTTCCCTTTTAACTAATCGATAACGTTTTCTAACTCGAGATTAATAACTGCCTTCGCAGTCGTTTCTAACTCTCTGATAATTCCATCTGTATTGTCCGTGATTCCATCTGAAGCATTTAGCCCGACAACTTTTACATTCTCATGTTGTTCCCCTTGCTTTTCTGCCAAATTTCCCAAGCCATATTGGAAGAACAGCGCGTTTCAGGGACAAAAGTTGTCCATAACTCAAACTAACGGTGGAAATCAGACGGCTTCGTTGTACATGAGATGAAAAAGCAGATCTTGTCAGATCAATCAATAAAGACCACCAGCGACCGAGTAGATACAGTCGCGGAGGACGCGAAAAAGTTTCAGCAGGTCTCGGTTTGTCGGAAGGTTTTCTGAACACAATGCTTCAACCCAACGAAAAACCGAGCAGTTTTTCTCCTCAACCCTCCAAAACATAAAAACCACCATCAACTGTATTTTATTCCTTTACCTCAGGAGTTTTTTCCACTTCTGGTCGGATTTGTGTTTAACGCTTCCCTTGACAATGCCTGTAAACTGACATTAAATAAAATTATCATTAACTTCAAGTATTGAAAATCCTCGGGCTTGGAAAGTGCGCTACTTAACCTTCCATCCGATCACATCCTAAGCCCCTTACAATTGTTCTGAGTTGTAAAGAGCATGTGGATCTCACCCTACCAGACGTTTGTTATTGAAATATTCCCACTGAGGAGTTTTCCTCAGCCGGCTTTCTTACTGCCGGAGCGACCAAGATGGCGTCAGTTATTCCAGAAGTTTGGGTTGCGGCAGAGGAGTGGCGAAAAAAGCTGGTTATATACAGCAACTGTCTAACTTAGTGGCCGTCTTGGTTTATATGGACTCATCCTGTGCGTATACCATAACAGCGGAAGCAAATGACAATGGCGGCGGCATAGTTGGCTTAACGAAGGCAGAAAACTAATATGTTTACATACCAATGCGCAAAGTCTGCCATGTAAATTGAACTAACTCAAGATTTACGTATGCCAAACCTTACCAGATACAGTATCCGTAACTTAAACGTAGCAGTCCACGAGCGTAGACGATTGCAAAGTCGCTCTCTCCGGTTACCACTTGTTTAGAAAGAATAGAGTGAGACGACAAAGTGGGGGTGTGCTCACATTTGTCAAATATGACCTGCTTGTATTAGAAAAATGGACAGCCCGCAGGCATAACTGCGACAATTTGATTAACTATCAAAACGCCGGATTTACAAGTGCTCGAGATCTTGACGGTTTACCGACCACCAAGGAACGACTCGCAGTCAGACAACAGTCTGATAGAGGAATTAAAAGCGATTTAGTTCCGACCCGATGTCCTGATTATGGGCGGCTTCCGCGCTCCGAACACAATTAGAATCTGACTTCTGTCGCAGGCTCAGAATTCAACTTCGATCACCGCCTCCTACAAGCAGTGCAATGACGTCAGTTAACACAACATATCTTACCTCTAAACAGACTACTCGAAGGTTTCCTTCCTAACTGCTTGAGCCTTATATTGAAAAAGCTCCTGGCAGCGTTGATGTCGTAAACTGTCTACCCATTCTAGGAAAAAGCGACCATATAGTCCTATACCGGAAGCATTCCTTCTGCTCTGCACCTCATCGAAGGATGACGGTCTGACGTAACGTATGATGTGGAGATTTCAGGCAGATACATATTGATATGCCTTGTATAGGCTGGAAAGCCACATTCACGGGGTGAGTTCTCGAGGAATGTTTAGGATTTAAGGCCGCTTTGCATGGACTCATCACCAGATAATGCCCTAGATCGAAAAAGAAAATTACCAGCAGTACGCACAAAGGGGGAAAACCGTAAGCAAAAGCTGTGGAAGGCTTAGCTCAGGGATAAGACAATCGAATCAACGAATAGGCACAAGGCGCAGCGAAACAGAGTAACGTGCCTTATTGACAAAGCCCACCAAGACTTCTAAAGTAACCTGTTCAGCTGTACAGTAGAAAACCCAAGTCTCTTGTTCAACAATATAAGACAGAGCACCCGCAATGCGGATCCAGTCCGTAAGTTCAAAAGGGATGATGGCGTTGAACTTTGCAAGGACGACGAAAAGGCTAAGCATCTATCCGTGTTCTTTCAGTCTGCTATTGCGTGAGAGGTCGATTTACCCGCTGCTTACTATAATGTGGATGAAGTACAAAAAATTGATTCAGTGGTTCTCGCACAAGCCGGTGTTCAGCAAGAAGAACTGAAGCTGAAAGAAGCGACATCGCCAGGTCCCGATGAAATACCAGCAGGGTGGTTGAATTAGTTAGTCGCAGAATTGGCAGAAACTATATGTCTTCTCTTTAAAGCTTCCCTATATGCAGGCAGACTGCCTCCTGAGTGGAAGACTGCGTGGGTTTCACCGATACATAAAATTGGCAGTAGTGCTTCAGCAAACAACTACCGACTGGTAATCCTCACCTCCATATGCTGAAAAGTTATGGGGCGCTTTATCAAACGCGAACTGATGCGGTTTTTAGAGCAATATCATCGTCTATCCGATGCACAGCATGGGTTCCGCAGAGAAAGGTTCTGCTTGACCAATTTACTCTACTGTCTCGAACGGTGCACCCAAGCAATTAATAGAGGAAATGTGGTGCATAAAGCCTACACAGACTTCAAGAAGGCCCTTGATAGTTTGGCACATACACATCTCCTCTACAAGTTCAGCCACATAGGGCTAAGAGGCAAGCTTTTGAAGTGGATCGAGGATTTCATGATTGGTAGACCTCAGATTGCCCCTCTTGGTGACCAGCAATAGGCGGACGTGACGGTTGCGAGCGGTGTACTTCAGTGTTCCGTTCTTGGTATTACACTCTTCCTCATATATATTAATGACTGCACCCGTGGGTTGGACTACGACACTGACATGGTTGCTGACGACACAAAGCTTTTTGACGTCATTCGCAACGAAAACAATGAAGCAAATCTACAGACAATTTCAAAATGATTCGAACAAAGGCGAAGTCACTGACTCCTCCCGTTTAATGTTGCCAAATGCAACATTCTGCTCATTGGCCAAGCCAGCTCTGCGTACCGGAGGAAGTACTATCTGAATAACGCACCACCACCAGAGGATGCGGCTCAGAAGAATCTAGATTTGTGGATAACATCCTCACTTAATTCATAATTCCACTGCTTAAAAGTAGCGAAATCTGCAATGTCCAGCTTATAGCTCACCAATCGGGCATTCACGAAGTTCGGCGAAAAGTGCCTTCGAAAGGTCTTCGTGATGTTCATGCGGCCACAGTGGAATTTGCTCTTCAGTTCTGCAGACCCTGGTCTGTCAAAGACCGCATCACCCTAGAGAATTCTAACGACGGGCAACCAAGCTTGTCAGAGGTCAAAAGACCGACCTTACGTAACTAGACTGTCCAGTCTTGATCTCTTCTCCCTGGGCTACAGGCAATTACGTGCCGACTTAATTCAACCGTTTCACATGCTGCAGGGTCAGGACTGTTGCCTCGCATCCAGCGAATTTTTTGAGACGGCCACCACTACTTGATCGAGAGGACATCCTCTCAAACTACGTGTGACTGAGGCAAGAGTGAACGCGAGGAAATTCTTGTTCGGCCGCAAAATGATTAAGGCATGGAATGCCCTGCCTGTGGGCGTCTTAATGTCCTCATCCATCGACACATTTATAGGGGAGCTTGAACAGTACAGAGATATGTATCACTACGTCATCAGCAACTAACACATTTTCCTATCGCCATACGCTACTCCCTATATTTCAACAACATTATTTTATAACTTTTCGTCACATGCCTCCGTCGGACTTCTATATGCAAACCAATGAATCGTGACTGAACCATAAGCGTTCGTTTCCACGTTGCTTGGACCATTCTAGTACCGCGTACTGAATATTTCACAATTTCGACACATTCATACAAGTACCACATGATTGCTGTTGTAATTACTTAACTATATAATCTTATATAATCACACATTTAACCCACTCACCTCTTTAAGACATCATATCCACCCACGACGTAACAGTCACCGTGAGGTCTTTTTATTTCTTCCTCTGGCACGTACTGTTAAATATCGTCGGTTCTTTTCTGCAAATTAAATTGCTATTTGGAATAAACTACCCATGAGTGTGAAAACTCTGCAAAATTATCCTTTATTTAAGAGAACTATTACTCGATTTTTGCATTCAGAAAAGCTCCCACAAATTTTGGGGGATGAATCTACTGATCGACTGTACCGTAGCGATGGCGTTTGTGGTCTCTGAACACTATGGCCGGTCTCACCAACTGTTCCTCAACGCCTCTACTTTGACTATCCCCAACTTCATGAAAGGAATTTGACGTCCGATAATCTCCGATACCGTACAACCTCCCTCCTTCTTGACGGTCGATATTCTACCACCGCCGGCAGTTTTTTCTCCTGAGCCCTCCAAACCATAAAAACCACCATCAACTATATTTTTATTCCTTTAGCTCAGGAGTTTTTTTCACTGCTGGTCGGATTTATGTTTAATCGCTTCCCTTGACAATGCCTGTAAACTGGTATTAAATAAAAAAATTTATTTATTTATTTATAACTACTCTTCTTACACATTTGCCTTTCATATTGTTATTTTTGACGTCATCATAACCAGTAGGGAATTCAAAGGCGTTCACCTGCCTTTCCTTTAATAGACTGAACTGAAAGGAAACTTATTACCAGGTACTGGACCGCTGACGCAGTTTCGAATGACTAAGTCTTTGCAAACTAACACATCTCTGGACACTAAAGGTCAAGCAATGCCCTCTAACAATGCTTTATTCGACACGCGCGACGCCAATCAAAGACCTCTTATGTCACCAGTCGTTAGTCCTGGCGTGAATTGTCTCAACTCTGACTTTCTTCGCAGCTCAATTACCAAAGAACTCAATGCCAGCAGTCCTTATGTGAATGATCCTAACTTTCATCCGGGTTCAAAAATCCTCCACTTCATTCCTGTAGCTGCCCGTTATACCTTCCTTCTCCCATCTTATTTCTAGTCTCTCCCTTTTGACATAAAAATCTGTAAACCCAAATATCTGAGATCGATCAGAGATCACACCTAGTCCGTCCATCCCTGATAATGAAAACACTGATAGTTATGGAGCATTGCCTTGTTTGATTTCCAGGAAAGTAATGAGCGAATTTGAAGTAGATTGTTCGAAAGAGACCTTTTCGGGCACGCTCCAAAAATTAATATGAATATTTGAGCTGAAATCGATCGCCACTTCCGAATAATCGCCTAGTATTCACAAACCCCTAATAGGCATTCAATAGGATATATGTGTGTAACTCTTTACCACACTGACGGCACAGATACCTGCTAAGAGTCGAGACACGCGTGTTTTACCGATGGCGTGCCGCTGCCTGACGTAGCTACGAGGGGTTCGGCTCATCAGTGGGTCCCCCCGGACTTCCCTCTGTGTTTTCTAAAATTTGAAGTCCATTTCCACCTTGTCTTGTTTAGTTTTCGAGGAAATTATACAAGGCAAGGTGAAATTGGGGTTCGCATATCAAAAAGCACATGGGGAGGACTGGGAGACCCACTGATGAGCCGAACCCCTCGTAGCTACGTCAGGCAGTGGCACGCGATCGATAAAACACCCGTGCCTCGGCTTTTAGCAGGTATCTGTGCCATCAATGTGGTAAATAATTACTCAGTTCTCGAAGCATTGGTACGTAGTTCATAACGCTGGCCTACAGCTGAAATTCTCGCCCCCAAACCTTTTTCTAAATAACTTTGACTATAAGCCAGTTATTCAAAAGACACCACACGTCATATTAGTTAGTGTCAGTCGTTGGACGGTGGAACGATAGTGTTCATGGGGGAAGATGTGGTGGCGTGGTGTAGCCAGCGGCTGTCTGCAGCAGGTTATCGCGAATGTGCATGTGACCCATGCGGCCCATGTGGTAGGTGAGTGTACGAGGGTCGTGCGGGCAGCTAAGTCGAATGCGTTTCGGCAATCTAGGCACTGGTTCGCCAATCTCTGTCCAACGGATTTACAGGTGACCGTCCAGGTAGATGTGTGATTTGAATGTTCTGTTAAAGAGAAAGTGGTGTGGTAGACGAGACGGATGTCCCCAAATCAGAAACCAGGAAAGAAGGACCGAGTTTGACAACGTTTACCGTTGAGAAAGTGTGTACACAGAGACTCTGCAAGCATTTGCCGTGAACGGTCTCTCCAGGCAAGTTGTGTCGTATCCGCCGTTGAGGTACCCCGACTCCAGCAGGTGCGTGTGCCTTTCGCTCTGACTCATTGTCGGCCAACCAACGCATCAGAGACGGGGCGGCATTGATTGGCACACAGAGGCTAGTGACAAATCTTGCACATCCCAGCAGCGGATCGACAGAGTGTGAGGCGGAAATGCGGGCAGAATGAGAAGGCGGTGGAGAGCATGGAGGCGCGGACTGCCACAGACCCACTTTAAATCGCTGGTGTTGAAGACGGCGAGGTTGACGTCTATCAGTGTGCCAGAATCGCTTGCAATGGATCAAGGTACAGGAGACGCCGCAACGGATGTTGAGGTGACGGAAGAGGATGGCAGTGGACGTCAGTGTTGACTGTCGATGGGGGGAAGAGGCAGAGGTCGATGGAAGGACGTTAGGTGGCGTCGCCCGGGTGATGAAATTGGTTCGAAGATGTCCAATAAGACCGACTGGTGCCCGGAACGTCCGCTGACACGGTGACAGGTTGGGGTCGGTTGAACGTTGACGTTTCAAGGTGGGGGGCGTTAAGATTGGGCGAGCTTCAAGGTTGGCTTCGGCGGTCGTGACACAGTTGGATTCGAAGACTGCTGCGCCAGTCTTTGATGTTCTCCTCCAGGTCGGTTGAACCCGGACAAAGTCTTCCCAGTTGACCGGGTTGGTTCGCAGGCGCTTCAGGGAGGCCTTTAGGCTGTCCTTCTAACGTCGGACTTGGCCTAATAGTCGACGAGAACCCATGGCGACATCTCCATAGAACAGTTGTTCGGGTATTCGCTCCTTGTCCGTCCGCACGATGAGGCCGCGCCAGCGCAGTTACAATTGTTGAAACATGACGTGGATGGGGAGGATTCACGTCTGTTTCAGTACATCCGTATCTGGGATCCGGTCCTGCCACCTCGGCCTCAGTATGCGGCGAAGACAGCTGAGGTGGAGGTGGTTGAGTCGGTGTGGCTGCTTCGCGTACACTGTCCAAGTCTTTGCTGCGTACAGCAGCGCCGGGAGGATGACGGTCTTGTACACCTTCAGTTTCGTGCTGAGTTGGAGACCGTGAGGATTCCAAACTGTGCATTGAAGACAGCCGAAAGCTTGACTGGCCTTCGAAATCCAGCGTGATACTTCGCCGTCAATTTTGGTGCCGCGGGAAAGGGTATTGTCCAGTTACGGAAAGTTGTTCACCACTTGCGGTTGGGTTCCGCTCACGCTGATTTGCGGCGCATCGTGCGGAGGGGCTGTGCTGGGTTGCGGTTGATGCATGAGCACCGTCCTCTCCGTGTTACTGACCAGACCGAAGCTCCCACAGGCGGCAGAGAAGAGGTCTATGATCCTTTGCATGTCCTCTTCCGAGGGGATTTTGAGGGCGCAGTCATCGGCGAAGAGAAGTTCGTGAACGGTGGTTGTGGATAAGCGCGATTGGAAGTGCATCCACCGTTGATTCAGGTGGCCGTCCATCCTGTAGGCGATACGGATCCAGGGGCGTTCGTCGCGGTAGGCGTCTATCGCACGACAGAGAACATAAGATCCGGGTGCTTCCCCGCTAGAGGACTGCTGCACGGTCCTGATGGTTTCGTGGAGAGAGGGCTAGAGGTCGAGGTCCCCGTTGGTCTCCACTTTAAACAGACGGGTGGTGGCGGCGTCGATGATAGTGGGGGGGCGGTTGAGGACGCCTCTGAAGTGTTTGGTCCACCGCTTCAGAATTTGCGTGCTCTCAGCAACTGTGTGACCGTAGACAGCCTTGATCGTGGCGAAGCCGTTTTACCATTCGTTGCGGTCCGCGCACCCCGAGTTCTCCCCGGCCTTGAGATTTGTCCAGGCCTCCTGCACTGCCCGCACCTACTGTTGCGCAGGGCAGCGACTACGGTAGAAGACTGCCTCGTCGTCAGTACGGCGGTTGACGCAGGCGGTTCTTCTCGGAGAGTAGGTTGCTGATGGCGACGCAAGCGTTCGCTTAACTTGCTGATCCCAAGCGTATTCATTCTCCAAGGACTCTGAAAATGCCCTGGTTGAACAATTGTTTCCGATCTCCTTTCACTTTCGAAATGGATTTCGACTCGGCAAAAGGAGTTTTCTCCATCCAGGTGTAGTTTTATGTGCTTTGGTTCGTCGCGCCTTCCTTACCCCCTTAATTTTTTAAATAACCCTCTTTTAAGACACTCCACTATAACGGACCTAGATTTAATTTACCCGAATAGGCTTAATTTATCACGCCATGCAGATGACGTTTCGGAAAAGGCTGCATAAATAAGTGGTTTCATATTTTTTCCTCCTGAAAATGAAACCAAAATTTTATCGCGTGTTTTGCAGTCATTTCTCTGGTCCAGTGAATGCCTATGACCGGAGCAAAATCAAAAACGTTCGGAAAAGTTTTACACGAAACCTCCTTTTTCCTCATTCGGCATCCAGCATCTCTTACACTGATGTCAATTGGCGAACACTAAACTTGTGTGTATTAGAAGACTCCCAACCCGCCTTTGCTTCCTGTTCAGCGTTAATTATAGTCTTACGTTTCCACGAAGTAACGATCTCGCCCAGTAAGTCGACCCTAAGCCACCCATAATTTCTCCTTGATTGTTTCACTGCCTCTTTGTCCGATCTTAAGCCGTTCTCGTCTTTTTGCATCCAGTCCTGTTTCCCCTTGGAATTTTTCCTCAAATCTTCGTTTCCACTGGCGATATTCGAAGTGAGAGTATGCAAGAATTTTACCCCGAAATCTATAAAGTCATTCTTATCCGATCCATTATCAAACACTCAGAATTTGGAATTCGAAAAGAGCCCACCAGGAATATGAGGCGTTTCTTCTTGAATTTAACTGATATTGACCCTCGCAGAGATAAACTTCGTGACCTTCACCATCCCCCATCTTTTTGGTCACACTACGAACTATTGACGACACTACTGGTTTTTTATATTTCGTCGAACTGACAATGGCTTCTTAGGTCTTCGTGGTTTTCTCGGCCCTATGCAAACTACAACGGCCTAGGCAGTCAAGAAATGTATGATCGCATTTAACGCGCATTAGGGTGATGATCATCGCAGCCTATAAGCGGACTGTTGACGATAACGACTAGTTCTTCTGTTTCGCTACCTTGCCGGTGGTTTCCTTCAGTCAGCAGAAAAATATCCTAGTCACATCTCCCGCACCTCGAAGATGAAAATTTCGCGACCTCTCCAGTTCTCTCCTCGCTTCGACCCCATGCGTCCTGCCGCTGCTCAGAGTAGGTATCTCTGTCTCGACGCCCTGACGGTTGGTCCTACAGTTAGTCGGGGAAATGTAACCTCAAATACAATGATATGTTGGTGGAGGTATCCACTGCGGTTTTATGACTTCTCCATTGATGTGGAGCGTTTCGACCTCTCGTGCGCCCACCAACAGGGGGTTCAATCTCACAAACACTTTTCTCCCACGAACAGTAGTCTCTCTACCCTTTATGGACATACCAATTCCGCTCAATCTTCAGTGCCTCATCGTGATGTTTGACCTCACCAATAAGCGGGCGTAATAATTACAAACACAAATTAACAACTGTACAAGGCTGTGCATTCGTTTTGAGACTTTATGTGATAGAACTGTCTTTTTGATTTCTCAAAAAACTAGCAATCCATCTTAATTAAGTCAGTTTGATAGTCATCTGGCGGATTCTAGATTGATTACTTAAGAAATACTGCTTGGCCAGTCGGCTTGTTGTATCTGAATTGGTGAATTCCATGCATTGTATTAGACTGAGCGGTTCACTTGAACACGTTCACCGATATGCATGTGATCGTATCACGTAAATGTCTGAAATAAACGTTTTTGTTAGAGATGGTACGACCAAACGGGACCCTTCTCTATGTTTTTAACGACTTGCATAGTAAGCAAAGACCCAAGAGGTGCAGATAAGCGAAGACGTTCCCTTCCCAAGGGTTTATATGCAGGATAACCTGGACACGCCTCACAAGAGACGCTGTATCACCTTATCATAATCAGACAAATAAGGTGACGCTAATTTTACGAGGTGCCTTTAAAACTTATTGGATGAAAGCCGAAGAACCCTGTAGTTTCAAGGGATGGGCCCGCCTACTTACTAGACATTCGTGGCGAATCGTTCAACCGTAGTTTTCACATACCTTTGGAAGGACATTCGGACAAATGATTAACCTATTCCTTCAATGCCGGATGATACAATTACGTGCTGGGTTGAGGAATTCTTGGGGATTTGACTGAGTGGTTTGATGCCTAACGGGTGACAATATTTCAGTTTAATTGACAAACTTCAGCCAGCAAAGCTCCCAATGATCTAAAACTAACTGCCATACACAAATCGTCATAGGATAGGGAACAATACTAAGAAGAGGTCTGGGACAAAAAACCTTCCTCGCCAAAATATTTCTCCTTCCAGAATCGGGCTTCTTTGAGAAATGTAGGGCAGTCATAAATCCCACAAATAATTGTAGCGTTTGACTGATTTAGAGCAGAAGACAGTTTGGCAAACATAGTATCTTTAAATCATCTTCAGATTAGTACAGTTATGTACAGAAAATCGATACCCGAGCTCAGTTAGAGGGGCGCGTGAGCAGGCCTGTCGGCACGGCGAATTCGGTGAGGTTCCCTTGGGGGGAGGGGGTTGAAGGCAGGCGAATCTGTGATAATTTTTAACGGCAAGCATTTGTGAGTAAACATCCTGTGCTTAAGGAAATCTGGTCTTCAATTAATTAACTTTAGCCTACGATAAGTGCAACAGCAGCAAAATAATATCTAGAAAACGATGGAATACGTCAATATTATGTCGGCTTTCCAGGGATTTCTTATGCGCAGTGTTGTTGACGGACTGACAAATTTATGCGATACGTAACAATAATAATGCCAACATAGTAAGTTTGGATGACGTATTTGTGACATTTAAGCAGTAAGGGTGTCCTCAGGGAGCCATAATAAACACGGCCAAGTCCTGATTTAGAGGAGAGGGGAAAAGACATCGGTAGTAGTATATTCTGTACAGAAGTCCAGTGACTGTCAGAGCCCCCGACGCAGGGCCGGCTGTATGCCCGCGCACGTCCGTATGCTAGGGTAAGGCGGGTGCGGGTGAACAAGCGTCAGTCAATATCAGCCTGGTCAGCTGATTGGGTGATAATGGGGTTTGTGGGCGCCTCTGACTGGCTACCCTCGGGACTGAATGTACACACGCTCTGAGGCTCGGGGGTCGTGATCGCATGACTTCTAAACGCGGCGTGGTGCCCGAAGCAGAAGACTTAGGCTCGTTTGAGTAGCTACATATTCACTCACCCATTCGAGGGTCTTCTAACACGCCATGTCGGCTCTAACAAACACACAGCTGTTGTCCAGCGCGTTGAGTTGTTTCTCCAGATGCGTCGGTCAAGGCAATCTCATGTTGCCGAAAAAAATCCCGCTCATGGCACGGATCTCCAATCGGCACATTAAGCCTGAATCGGTCAACCAGGGCGCAGCCCGCCCAACAGGGCCAGGTACCGCGCCGAATACGGGAGAGCTCGCCAACCAGAAGCGATTAGCTCACCTACCTCACAGGAAAGACGCCAAGGACTACAGAACGGCTAAACACTGGCAGAGGTCATGACTCAACCACCACCAACATGAACTCGAGCACCACTTCGAGAGGTCAGTTAATTATATCTGCTGTCCGGAAGGCCGAACTTCCCTCGAATTCGTCTTTTCCTGAGCGAAGAAGTCTCAACTGTGTAGGGCAGTTAACAATTAGCAACTCTTGTACCATGGTTCGTTAGCTATTCGCTTTTTTGTCCTTCAGGCCAGCTTAATAAGCAACCTTGACGTAGCAGGTACAAGCTGGGTGACCAGTGAAGTGACCCCACCCGGGGCGGCCGCTGCAACACTGCGCCACTCGCGCGTACTTGAACGCGCGTTCCTAGTTGTGGTCTAGTTCTTTGGCAGTCACAGCTACCCCAACCGACCAATCAGCTTCAAGGTCGACTCAGACGCACTCACTAAAGGAGTTCTGACGGTCGCCCCGATGGACGCCTGCTCTTTGGGTGCTGAGCGTGTGCTCTCATTCGTTTGCTACCTTGTGTCTTAGGCCGCCACAACACCACTGAGCCCTGAAAAGCCCTCTTAGGTTACTACCAATATGAGAACACAGAGTAAATAGTAGTAAAGATAGTTCTGCAACGGCTGACACGACGTTAATGAAAAAAGGGTGGGAGAATTCAGTTCAGTTCAGTTTTATTGAGGGAAATGTAGGTCTTCACCTTTGAACTCCCTATTTGTTTACAAGAAACTGCAAAATCTCCAAAGCTGGAAAAGGTATCATAAACTTAACAAATAATCGGAAAAGCGTCAACTCTGTACAGATAAACAAACCGTCTCAAATGTTAGTGGTACAAGCAGTAGTACACTGGTCGTTTCGAGTGCAGGGGATTAAATAATATACCCGGTGACAAAAGTCGCATAGGTGCATGTCAGTAAGCGTAGGCGGTGGGTTGAAGATAATAAACAGTCAATTTAAAATGTTACTGAAATGTAGCAAGTAGTATTACAACGATGGCATTTGTCAAGGTTACAGAGGTCGGGTGGTAATTTAGTGGACACTGCTATTACCACCCTACCTCTGTAACCTCGACAAATCGGACCCTGAAAAAGGGCCTATTTCCTTAGTGTGAGTAAAAATCCCGAATTGATTTTAGGGTAGCGCCTTGGTCCGCACAATGACAAAATTGGCGAAAGAACATTTTCTGCTACGCAATTTCAGGACTCGGCAGGGCTGCCATTCGAAAACACACCTACTAAGCCAGTGGGGCAATCGAGAATCGGATTCAAAGAAGATAAAAAGTGCAAATTATCTTGACATAGAAGGCTTACGGTATGTCGACAGATCACGTAGGTGTTGATCGCCTCAACCCGAATCGCGCCAAGATTTTTTCGGTCTGAATGAGGGCGCTAAAACGAACCAGAAGCAGGATGACTGCTAGATCAGTAATATGGGTAAGTTAACAATGACTCATTGGCATTCCGTGCCACTTAGATGCCACTCAGATACAGGTAGGCTGTAGCTCAAGTGTGTGGAAGGGCCCCTCAAGTGTATTCTCGTCAACCCGCTGCAGACTGGAATAGCTGACTGCACTGGTATGAGCACTGCCATGATCATTGGTTAGAAGTCAAATACCAAGTTTGGTCGATGTCTGTTCTGCGAGTAAAATCATAAAACGAAACTATTGAAACAAACCTAACCCTAGACAGAACGACGGCTGCACGGCCGGAAAGTCCGTCAAACTACTTCAGAATGATACGGTGCGAGTTTTGACGTTACACGGCTTGCGTGGTGTGCTAACTCATGAAATGTTAACCGAAATTCTGAAATGGGTTTTCGTATCGAAAAGGTTAAATATCGTGCAGCATAATTCTATAATAATACAGATACCTCGGGAAGTCGGTTTTTGAATGATCATCTTTTTGGCCGCATGAAAAGATAACGCTCCGCAAAAAATGACTACTTAAGTAGCACGAATTTTCCTCATCGATTTTCGATGCCATTGTAAATTCAATTATATGTCATGGAAACGTGCATATAAATATTAACTCTTGAACTCATTCGGTAAAAATCGCGTCTTATTCTAATCTTATAATCGAAGGAATCGTATAATCAGGTTTTCAAGAACACTTTCAATTCCCGAATAATTCAGGGTTTTCAAACTACAAACCGCATATTTCCTGCGTACGGAAAACCACATATTTCTCTACGGTATTAAGAGCAGACCATACGGGGTTCATAAAATTAAGCGGTGGATCTGAGCCATATTGTAAACTTTACAAGCAACATTAGTAAATGCTGAGACACTATGTTTTATGAACAGGAATTTCACGGTACTAAAACATCTCGCAATTAGAAACTTTTTAAAACCGAATTACACCCTTTCTTTGAGAATAAAATTTGAAAATGACGTAATTTTCCACCGAATGAGCAAAAGAATGAATATTTTAGGCATGTTTTACATGGAATATAATTGAATTTATAAGGGCATCGAAAACCAATGAGGAAAATTTATGAGTACTTAAGTAGTCATTTTTACGGAACGTGGTCTTTTCATGCGGTCAAAAAGATGATCGTTCAAAAACCGGCAGCCCAAGGCATCTGTATTATTATAGAATTCTGCCGCATTATATTTTACTTTGAGACCCTACTTAATTAATCTTTTCGAAACGAAAACGCATTTCAGAATTTTAGTCAACATTTCATGAACTAGCGCGCCTACTGTACAGACGTCTCATCGTCGCATAACTGGCGGTTACTAAGTGATGTTCCACAGAGACTCAGTGAAACTAACAGTGTTTTGGTCAAAATGTGACTTTAGAAATGCACGCCAAGGGAGGGTTAAGAGACATTCGCTCCAAATGAGGTTGTTTCTAATATCAGTTATGTCTCACCGACAGGTCGACCGACGATGTTGGCTGTATACTCCACAGCACGGTAAATGCAGAGACGGTGAATTTCGCATGAATTAGCTACCACACTTGCGCAGCATCTGCCGCACTCTCGCATCTCTCCTCCCTGCCTAAACCCGGTGTCAAGACAGAGTCAGGAATATCGAAGGCGGGAGAGACAGCAGGTGACTGACACGGCGGAACCCACACCAAGGGGTACCACCCTACCCCCGGCTCACAACACTTGCCCCAAAAAATAGCAGGAAGGCACGCATCCGGATGGGTGCGATGTGAACTGGCAATCGAGCCTGCTGCCACGCCCCGAATGTTGGCATTTGCGCATTCCCCATAGTGCCCGTCGGACCCCAATGTGGCTCCCCCGTGTTGGTTCAGCCCATCTACCGCGTGCGCCGTTCCAGGGGCAAAAGTTTTCCATCACCATGAAGCATAACGAACGCAAAAGCCATCGTGCTGCGATGGGGAGCATGGCTCTGATGTCTTTCCGATAGCTTTCGATCCCACACTTTTTCCTAGTGTTTCAATGTTAAACAACTGACGTTACTTTTCAGTTAAATATGAATACGCACCCTGTTAAGCCTGCTTTACGGTCGCCTACCGTCCACACACGACTTTGAAACGTTCGTGCATTTACCACTAAAATGATTCTGCGTGCTGAAGAGATGGAAGTCCGTCAGATTAGTTTAGAAACAGGTTACGAAGTGGATGCTGGCAAACCGTGTGGAATCTAACATTAGTGACACTCAGGTAACGTTGGTTGCATTAATTAATTTGGCGTTTACTACCGATGATTCGATTGTTTTGGGCAACGATGGGTAGGGACCGGTTACGCTGTCCTGATCCCAAGTGGAAGCGGAATGTAGGCATTTCAAGTAAAGTAAGCCGAAGGAGGATGCTGAAGGCCTTAACAGGAAAGTAGCCGACGCAAAAACGGAAAAGGGCAACCTGATGTTTCGGTTTAGAGGTAGGGTTAGTTCTAGGGTTTGGATTAATGTGAAGCTGAAAATTCAGTTTAAGTCGAGGGTCTGTATAAAGTTTAAGGGTCCCGGTGAGTGTTAGGGT